TTATGAAGGTGTGGTCAAACAAGAAATAAAAATAAAGCTATAGCAATTTGGCAAAATATACCAACAGCCTCAAAATTAATCTGTATAGAACTAATTCTACTTCTCATGATAGCTATCACAAGAAAGTAATATTAACATTAAAATTTAGTATAATTTTTAATATTGAAAGTTAAAAATTTAGGATCCAATGATACATCTTTACAATAGAATATTGTGCAGCTACAAAAAGATATTCGCCATGAGTTTTAATAAACTAGGGAATAGTTTATATCAAATATACTGAAGACAAAAATGCCTCTAAAATTGGATGCAGGCTATATTGTGACTATTTTTAAAAGACACAGCAAATGGACAAATATAATGAAATGTCAATATCTTGGCTGTCTTTGGGTGATGTGGATTTTTGTTTGTTTTGTTTTATGTTACTTTTCTGTCTTTTTTATATATTTTACAGTAAGTATGACCCCCCCCCCCATTTTTTTAAAGGAAAGGCTCTGAGAAACTCAAATAAGAGTAGCTTATCATGAGGATCATTTGTATTTTGATTAGCAAACTCTGGGCTCAGAAGTGTTGTTCTTCAGCAAGCCCAATGTTCATACACAAATATTTTCTGGTGCTTCCTACGTGTACATGCTATAAAGTTGCTGAGAGAAACACAATGCTGAATCATAAGGATTCTAAAATCAAGGACCATGGCCGGATGATCAGAAAAAAACACATCTGCAAATAACTATAATACAAATGATACATTCCAGAAGGGATGTATAGGAAAATATATCGAACAGTGTTACCAGTGTAGTAGAAGCAAAGTGTATGTGAATAGCAGTAGTTGGAATGGTAAATTGGAGGTGAATCATAAAAGCTATGGATGCCAAGGTAAAGACTGTGTTGTTAAATTGGAGGGCCATATGTAGCTATTGAGGGTTTTGCTTTGTTTTGGTCTATATTGTTTTTGAAATCATGATCTTCATGATGTGTGCTTCAGGAAGTCTGCCTTTGGAAACAAACTGGAATGTGGATGAAACTGAAGGCTGAGTTAGGTGAGAGACAGTGAAAGCAGACTTGAGAAGTAGGTTTGGAAGTAAAGAGGAGGAGGCATTCCAATGAAGACAGAGAGAATAGACTGAGATAAAGGTTAGAAGCTCTTATCTCAGTAGGTCAAGGAGGTATTACCACCTTCTAAGGAATTATTTCAAAATGGGCCTCTCTATCATGATTTTGTAAAATCTGCACCTAATCTCAGACTGCTAGGCTGGAGAACTTCACTAGTTTTTTAGACTGAAGTTACGGTTTTTCTTTTTCTATTTTTCAGTACATATGTGATATCTGGGGCTTGGGCAGCAGCAACTACAAAGGATTCTTCCTAGTTCATTAGAGAAGTCTTATGTCATGTCATGGTGTAAGCTATCAAAGGGATGGGGCCTTGGCCAAGTAGCTCAGTTGGTTAGAGCATTGTCCTGATATGCCAAGGTTGTACGTTGGATCCCTTGTCAGGGCACATACGAGAGACAGCCAATTAATGCATAAATACGTGGACCAACAAATCAATATTTCTCAATCTCTTCTTCTCTAAAATTAATAAATAAAATATTTTTTAAAGGGATAGGAAGAAGAGGGAGAGGATAGCCTCTAGGGTACCTAAATATTCCAATATCCCTATGCTGGAGGAGCTTTGTGCAGCAGGTACTCTCCCAGTAATCTGAACACAGGTTCTGAGCTTCTAGAAGGATTCCCAGCTGAGTTGCACATATTGCAGCTTGATGAATGGTTCTTTGTACAATTTCGGCCTCCCTTCCTACAGGCTCCTATGAGCTCACCAACCACTTGAGCTTTCCTCTTTCAGCCTCTTTCACTACCCTTTCTTCCTCTCTCCAATGTTAGGTAATCCCCACTCACTCAGCCTAGACCTGCACAACCAAAAAACTCCTGGTAATGCACAGACTGGGGAGTGAGCACCTTTCTGACTTTTCCTAGGTAGCAAGCTCTGTTCCACCGATGGCTTTGTATCATTTTTTTCTTTTAAGTATGATTTTCTTTGTACTAAAACCATACCAAAAAAATAGAAGCAGAAACATCCTAGTGAAGCTAAAATATTTTTCAACAGGAGTCAGTTTAATGCATATATTTTCACTTAAGCCATAAATTAGAGCTATTGTGTCACCCTTGGGAAACTTTTTATAATATAATAGGTACTATAGAAGGATTACTTTAAAGGATGTTTAAATTAGGATCAAACGTATTCTTCTAAAGGTCCTCCCTTTATTCTCTCTTGTTTCCTAAACTTTTCTCTGATGTGGTTGTGCTGAGAACTGAAAAGGATTTTTAAAGAAAGTTGTCTTGTAATATAAAGCCAGAAAGGCAGAATTCCTCTATGCTTTTATTTGTGGTTCAAGATCTTAGAAAATCTAAAATATATAATAACATCTATGGACTTTTAAATATTTGCTCATTCATTATTTCATTAAATGTTTATTTATTTGATTTTTTTAATTGACTTGATCAAGGAAGGAAGACAGAGAAAGAAGAAGATTGATTTGTTGTTCCACTTATTTATGCATTCATTGTTTGCTTTTTGTATGTGCTCTGACCAGGTACAGAACCTGCAACCTTGGCAAATTGGGCCAATGCCCTAACCAACTGAGCTACCAGACCAGAGGAACATTTATTGGAGCCTTATTACATTCTATGACCTGTGCCAAATGCTGGGGATACAAAGAAAGAGGAAGAGAACTCCTTTTGTTTGTTTTTTAAAAAGTTTATTTATTGATGTTGGAAAGAGGAAGTGGGGGAGAGGGAAAGAGAGCAAGAGTGAGATTTGTTCCACTTATTTATGTATTCATTGATTGATTCTTGGCTGGAGATTGAACCTGCAACTTTGGCATATGGGGATGATGCTCTAACCAAATGAGCTACTGGGCCAGGGCAGGAAGAATACTTCTTTAAGAATATACTACCAGGACTAAGTACAAAATAAACAAAGATTGGGAGACATCTGTCTGGAAATGGAGGAGAAATTTACAGGACTGAAAAAGGAGTTGGTGCTTCAGCGCATTAAGCTTCCATTCTTTTCTAGGAAAGGCTGATTTAATTGTCAGTGCCTCAGTAAAGTTGCCTGTGACCCAAATTCATGCGCGCTGTGTAAGTGCCAATTCACCAAATGTTGGTTTGAGATTTAGAGTTGGCAATGGTAGGATATCAGAGCTTCTGGTTTGCTTTTGGTGCTGTTGACCATGAGAAGGGACTTCCAGAGTGAAAAATCTATTGCCATTACCTTGATTGTATCATGTACAAGTTGCTTAAGTTTAGCCAAGCCATCTATTTTCTTCTCTCCATCTACAACATGAGAAAATGTACATATCCTCCTACTTTCAATAAAGTTTCATAAGGTCCATGTAAACAAATAGTTATAAGACACTGTATTAAGGGCATGAATAACAGGCTGTGCAAGTTATGGTAGACTGGAGTGACCACACCACATCATTCCTGTGAAATGGATGTAAGGGGATAAACAGAAATGGTAACATTTATAAATGTTGGCAGGGATGTGGAGAAAAGAGAACACTTGCACACTATGGGTGGGAATGTAAATTAGTACAGCCATTATGGAAAACAGTATAAACAGTATATATAATTAATGGCAGATTACACCAGCCTTTAAAAAGGAGGGAAATCTATCGTTTGAGACAACATGGATGAACCTGAGGACATTATGCTAAATGAAATAAGCCATGTACAGAAAGACAAGTACTCCATGATCTCTCCTATATGTGGAATGTAATCCACACTCACAGAAGCAGAGTTTAGAATGATAGTTACCAGGGCTTGGGGCGGGGGGCGGGCATGTGGTGGAGAGAATGGGAGATGTTGTTCAAAGGGTACAAAGTTCCAGTTATGTAGGATGAGTAAGTCTAGAGATCTAATGAAGAGCATTATAGCTATAATTTAAAAATACTGTGTTAAATAATGGAAATATGCTAAGACAGTAGATTTTAGATGCTCTCATCACACACACAAAAAGGTAAATATGTAAGGGAATGATATGTTAATTAGAGTGACTGTAGTAATGATTCCACTATGAATATCAAATCATCATATTGTACACCTAAAATATGTACATGTTTTAAAAAGTGGCTCATGGAAATTAGTGGGGAGACCAAGTCATAAACAGACAATTAAAAAGCAATAAGGAATTCCAATCACAGAGATAAAAAGACTCCGTGCATGAAGGGAGTACCTGGTTACATGAAATAAACATCAAGTAAAATAACATATATGCAGTTATTTTTATTGTTTTTATTATTATTGCTGCTACTCTTACTGTTTTTGTTATTATTATTGTTGTTGTTTTTAGCAAGGAAAAGGTGTAAAAATTGGAAATATGAATGGGGCTTCAGTGACAGGGAGTTTGCTTTATTGTCAGAAACCCTGCCAAGATTTTTTTACCCTATTGTTTTATCAGTCCTTCCTATGATGAAATTCCAAAGAGCTACAAAGGGCTATGTAGGTAAATCAGGGCAGAGTTGCTAAGAGACCATTTAAAGAGACAAAGTCACAGTTAAGTGGTGCGCTGAGCATAATACATTGCACATAGTGGTCACGCAATAAAAAAAGTTATTATCAATTATTATGGGGCAATTGAATATCAGAAAGGTTCACTTAGGATCAATCAGCTCCCCTCGCCCCCACCCCAATCAGCTTTTAAATAGTGGTTGGAAGTCAGATCTCCATGTTCTGTGTTAGACAGTAGAATGAATTAATCAGACAGGATCTCAGTCCTTGAGAAACTCCCAGTTAAATATGAGAAAGAGAGAGTGACAATATATAGTATGGTAGACGAAACAGCAGAATTATGTGACAAGTGTCTGAGCAACAAAATATAGCAATTAATTCTGTTCGGAGAAAGCCGTTAAGGTTACATTTGCGTTGTAGTGAGGGCGGAGTCTGCGGGGGATTTCTGGACAAAGAGTCTAAGAAACTGCCGGAACCAAGGTGCTGCGGCCGTTGAGTGACTCTCGGTCGGATATTGTTACTGGACCCGATCAAGGCCGTCACTCCCGTGTTGTCAGCCGACCAGGGAGTGCAACTGCTTGCACCCATCTTCGGTTTACACAATAACAGGCCGCCTCAGCAAACGATGACCGGAGCTCTGGGAAAGGTAACGTGGGTTCTACGCACGCCGGGCGCAAGGGAGGTGGTGCGCTGAGCCAAGCTGGGAAGTGGCCTGGGCCATCACCGCCTCTGCAGGCATCCGGATGTAGACACTGGCGAGAACTTGGCTCTTCCCGGCAGCACATGCGGCGCCTTGTAATCAAAGGGTTGTGCTCTTTCCTCTCTACTCCGGTGGCACTTGGTCGCACAATCCCGCGCGCCATGCACTTGTCACTAGCTATCCTCCTCGCCCATTGGCCTGGAAAAGGAAGATTCCCCGTGCTGGGAGTCACGACACCAGGGCAGGTCCCAGTATGACCTTGAACAGGTCACTTGATTTTTGCGTTAACTCATCAACTTCCAAAAATTTTTTTTCTAAGAATACCGTTTTGACGTTCTGAACTGATGTGACGCTACTTGGCGATAACGAAAGGGTGGTAATAAAATACATTTTACTTATAAAACCTTATTTAAAGTGACTGCAGTAAAACCGTATGAACCACCATAAATGCATTCCTTGTCCTTCCCTTGTCCTCTTAACAGACTAAACAGATTTCAGTTGTGCTCTTTCAGTTGTGTTATGTGCTGATTGGTAAATTAACGACTTATTTTTAGCAATTATTGTTAAAATTTTATTTTATGTATTAATTGCAGAGACTATATCACCATGACACATAGATTAGCATGATCATTGCTGCTCATGGTTTACTAGTAGTTATCTTGTTGCGGCCCCTGAATTTCTGCAGCTTAAACATCATATCATTCTGAATGAAATAACTCATTGTTGTTCACCTTAGCCACATTGTGAGAATTGGGCCAGATCTGGTGAAAGAATAATAGAGAAAAAATCAGCAAGTTTCAAAAATCTGTTGTTAAAGATGGTCAGATCAGTGACTCCACACTTCTGCTTTATTTGCCTTGATTCTGAGGAATGCTAAAAGGGAGGATCATTTTTCAAGGAACTTTTTTTTTTAACCATTGGAAATATGTTTATATCTTCAGGTTATTACCTAAAGATATAAGGGCAGATAGGGCCCTTCTAAATGTGATGCCATTTTTTCCTTTTAGACTCCTTTGTAGACTACCCTTCCATTTCCTCTGCTGCTTTGTCCAGATAGTCTCTCATTTATTTGCCAAATGCTGAATTCCTGATTCTTGATCTTGTGGTCTTCTCACTTGGAGTGCGCTTATCCTTGTCACCATTTATACAAGTGCACCTTCCTTCAAGGCCCAGCTCATCTCATTTTTTCCATAAAATGTTTCTGATTACTCCAGCTAAAGTGCCTGTTTATTTCCTGAACTTCTAACTGGTGTTATGTTTTTGGCACCTAATCATGTGCAGCCTTATGACCATACTTGTCTCAGCCTGTCTGGAAGTGTTAGTTAATACTATACAGTTATAAGGAAAACCAATGGGATTTGCATGAGACCTAGGTTCTATCTCTTGCTACCTGTATGACCATTGGCAGGTTATTTGACCTCTCTCTGCTTCAGTTTCTCATCTGTAAAATGCAGATGATGATGCCCACTAACTGAAACTGTTGTTTGTAATCTAAAAGATTATAGAAGATAATGTAAGAGTACTTTGTAAGGTGTGAAGGACTATACAAATAGGAATATTGATATTCTATAATAAAATGCTTCATTTGCATAATTTAATTTGATCTTCATAATATTCTCAGATGATCCTGGCAAGTGCAAGATGAGGAAATAGAAGCTTCTGGCAGTGTATGGTACATAATAGGTTCTCAAATGTTCTGAGTGCCTGAATGAATGAACACCTTGCTTATAGGCCAATAGCCTCTTAAGTGGCAGTACTGACACTAGAGCCTAGATTTGCTACTCCTCTAAGACCTCACTGCCTTTCCTTTTCTGAGTATTTCACATCTCACTAATTTGATAATAATCTTGGTTTTCCTCAGATGTGAAATGAAGAACGAAAGCATTCCTTGACCTTCCCAGTTGTCAGCCTGTTTGTTTGTTTGTTTGTTTGTTTATTCTCACCTGAGGATATGTTTCTTGATATTAAGGAAAGGAAGGGGGAGAAAGAGAGAGTGAGAAACATTGAGTGAGAGGGAAACATCGATCCATTGTCTCCCATTCGCATACCAGCCAGGGATTAAACCCTCAATTTAGATATGTGCCCTGACTGGTCACATAGCGACCTTTTGGTGTGTGGGGCAATGCTCCAACCAACTGAGCCACTTGGCCAGGGCATTGGTTCTTCCTTTTTTGTGACCTATACAGTCCATAATACTGATCTCTCATTGCAATGTAATAAGTAATTTGCACATCTACTATCCTAAGAAATATATGAGGGTAGGTAACTGTATTTTCTTCATGTCTGTATGTACTCAATCTACAGTGGCTTAAAGTAGATAACTGGTAAATATTGAATGAATAAGTGAATGAACAAATGTTGACATTACATGGTATGTACATGGTAGAGCTGATGCTAAAACTTCAGACTTTTAGTTCTCTTTCTTTGGAACCCTAAGAAGTTTTTAGCTTATAATCATTTCAAATTTTAGATGAGTGAGAAGCCCTCTTTACTGGAATAAAACTGGGTGGAATCATGCACTTCTTTGAGTCAACAGAAGTAGTAGAGTAGGGTAGATCTGACTAAGACACTAATGCTGATTTTCATCAAACCCCAGAAAACATACTAATTGATCAAGATGAGAGCCCAGAAAGAGCAACTTTGGGGACAGATCTCATAGTTCAAGTGAAAACATTAAAGGCTAACATGGAGCAGAGTTCATATGAACAAATGACAAACCAACAGATATGAGTTAGGAGGACATAAGAAGATGGAAATAGGAAACAAATTTATAGTGCCTAGAAGGGCAGGGAGTCCAAAATCCCAGTAAAATTGTCAAAAAGTTTGCTATTTCTTGGTCACTAATAGACTTTTGGTGGAGGACAGGGGTATTTTTCTATTTTGTTCATGATTTTATCTTCAGCACCTGACACACACTAAGGTATATATTGTTTAATAAATGAGGAGCTGAATCATCACCATTGTGACCTATCTAACCATTAACAATGTGCCTTGCACTTCTTAAGCCCTTTATATATATATTATCTAATTTAATCATATCAACTTCTCTATGAGGTAAATATTTTTTTAAAGATTTTATTTATTTTTAGGGAGAGGGGAAGGGAAGGAGAAAGAGAGGGAGAGAAACATTAATGTATGCTTGCCTCTCATGCGCCCCTCACTGGGGATCTGGCTGGTAACCCAGGCATGTACCCTGACTGGGAATTGAACCAGAGACCCTTTGGTTTGCAGGCCAGTGCTCAATCCACTGAGCCACACCAGCCAGGTGAGGTAAATATTTTTATAACCTCTTTACAGATAATGAAGTAAGGTTTGAAGGCATTTACTAATTTTATCAGTAAATAATTATTGAGCACTTGATATGTATAGAGAGTGTGGCAGATGCTGGGATGTAGCAGTTTTCTGTGTTCATGGAACTTGTATTCCTAGCAAAAAAGACACACTAATTATAAATCATTGTGATAAGTGCCACAAAAGAAAGAATTCTGGGTGATGTATGAATGTGTAACAATAGGATCCGAGCAAGTCTGCATAGTCAGAAAAGTATTCTTGAGGTTGTTACATGACAAAGACTTAAAGAATGACAGAATTCAGACAAGGATAGCGTGTGCAAACACCCTGTAATGAGAACACACTGGGGGTTTCAGAGGGCCCTGAAGAAATTGGGAGGGAGAGAAGCAGTGGTGCTGGATCAAGTAAGAATGTGCAGAGAAGTATTGGGGTGAGAATTGGGGAGATAGGGCATTTCAGGAGATGACCACAGGTATTTTGAAACTGAATTTAGTCCTGGGTGAAGTTAGGGAATTGGGTTTAATCGAGCCTAGATGTGACCTAGAAGTGTCATCTAGAAGTTATGATGTGAGAGCAGATATTTCTTTTTTAAAAAAATACTGAGATATAATTCACATACCATAATATTCACCCTTTAAAAGTGGAAACTTCAGTGGTTTTTAATATATTCAAAGTTGTGCAGCCATCACCACTATCTAATTCCAGAACATTTTCATCACTCAAAAAAGAAACCCTGTACCCATAGGAAGTCACTGATTCCCCAATCCCCCTATCTACCCCCTGGAAGCCACTAATCTACTTTCTGTCTCTGTGGTATTGTCTGTTCTGGTCATTGCATATAAATGAAGTCATATGGTATCTGAGGTCATGTATTCCTTAACTGACTTGCCAAAGATCATACAGCTAGTAAAACGCAGGTGCTGATATTCAAATCCACATCTCTGGGGATCTATAACCTGTGCTCCTAACTGCCATAAAGTGCAAAGACAAATTTTGATAGTACATGTATTAAACATCTTCAGAAGAGAATGACTAAACAAAAACTATAAACAAAAGCAGTTTTGAAAGAACTTAGGAAAAGATCATCTAGAACATATTTACTAGCACTGTGCATTGGACATATTAGTTCTCTTTTCTGAGCTTTGGTTTCCTCACAGTAAAATGGGAGCAAAAATATTTACCTCACAGAATGGTTGTGAGCATTAAAGGAAATAATGTCTGGTAAATAACAGGTGCTCAACAAATAGTAGGATTATTGAGGCTATTATTAGCATGTGAATTTCATGAATATAAACTGGTATTGCTCTTTTGAGAGGTAGTGTGGCAGAATGGAAAATGTGCCCTTTGGATTCAGACAGACGGGTTAGAATTCTAAGCACCTCTTATCAAGCCTATAACTTTGGGCAATTTACCTAAGCCTCTGTATTTTCCTCTTACAAAACAGAGGCAATTATGTCAATAATGCTTCTATCAAAGGACTGGTTTAAAGATTAATTGAAATAGTCTGTGTAAAGTGCTTAGCACAATGGATGTATTCATAAGTAATAGTAAAAAAAGGCATTTTAAATAATATTTATTAATATACAAATATATTCTGTTAACTTTCATAAAACAGCTCTCAGTTGCTTGCCTTATGGGCCCCTGACCCCAGTGCTGGCAGCACCCGCTCTGGGGTCTGGTGTCTGAAGCTACTCGAGAACTATAGGTTTTGCCCCATGACTTAGCTTCTTTGGTAACTGTGAAGTCCTTTCCTGGTTCTTGGCTCCCAAGCTCCTGGGACAAGTATTTTTGCAACCCATTGTAGCAGCTGTGTCCTCATTCATTCATTCACTAGCGTCACTGCCCTCCTCTTCCATTTGCTCCAGAGCTGGAGCTGCTCTTCATTTGCTGACTGGAAGGAGGGAGTATTTGTGGATAAAGTCCCAGAATAGATTACTTTGGTCCTGATAAATACTGCTGAGCATTGCAGGGAGAGGAAGCGCGTTTCCCAGAGCTGAAAGGGAGTATTCACACCACAGTTTGAATGTCTTCCAGAAAGTTGTCAACCTTTAAGCCTGGCTTTTAGATAATTAAATCCTTTGCTATTGTAGAGACTCAAAAATCTGAACAATTAAAGTGAGGAAAAAATCAGTCTCATCTAGATCTTTCTTCCCACCCAGTACCTCTTCTGTTTGAAGTGACCCACTTAAGAATATATACTGTTCACTGGTTTTCTTTTTTTCTTTTTTTAATTTTATTTATTTTTAGAGAGAGGGAAAGGGAAGGATAAAAAGAGGGAGAGAAACATCAGTGTGTGAGAGAAATATCTTACACACCCCCCAACGGGGGACCTGGCCTGCAACCCCGACATGTGCCCTGACCAGGAATTGAACCTGGCTGGGGGCCTGCAAGAAGCAACTGATAGGTGTATCTCTTGCATATCGATGTTTCTCTCCCTTTCTTTTTCTCTCTCTTCCCCTCTCTCTAAAAATGAATAGATAAAATCTTTAAAAAAAATGCTGTGGGTGCTTAACAGGTGGCAGCATTGATTATCACTCATTCACTTCTTTCTAATAATTTATTTATTCACCAAAACAAACCTTGATTGAATGTCTACAATGTGCCCCAGAGGAATACAATATGACCCTTGCCCTTGAGGATCTCTTGGTTTAGCATAGTGGCCTATGGGCGATGTTAAGAGGTTAAGGCAAACTTTTGTATATCCATGCCTATATGTATTGGTCTGGGGAGAAGGTTCATGACTTTGAGCAGATTCTCAGCAACATCAATAACAGCCCAAAAGCTAAGAACTTCTTCTGGGCATCTTCAACTGGATTTCCTGCCAGAAGTGCTTGTTGTTCGTACCACTTATTGTGACTTAATCATATAATGCTTATACTATTGCTTAGCTGTTTGACAGAAATGTATACCCATATCTCCAGCCATTTGAACTATAAATTAGGGATTGTGCTTATTACATTTTGTAACAGCTTTATTGAGATATAATTCAAGTACCATACAATTCACTCATTTAAAGTGTACAATTCATTGGCTTTTAATATATTCAGAGTTATGCAACCATGATTACAATCAATTTTAGAACATTCATCACCCCAAAAAGAAACCTCAGATCCCTGGGCTGTCATCCCCAGCTCCTCAAACCCTCAGTACTAGTCAACCACTAATTTACTTTCTTTCCCTTTAGATTTGACTATTTCCAGTATTTCATATAAATGTAGTCATATATTTGGTCCTCGTGATTAATTTCTTTCACTTAGCATACTGGTTTCACAGTTCACTCATGTTTTTACATTTTTGTTTTTATATTCCCTTTAATATTCAGCACAGTAGTTGGCATACAATGGTCTTTTTTATAATAAACTTTATTTTAGAGTAGTTTTAGAATTACAGAAAAGTTGTAAAGATAATATGGAGAATTCCCATGTACCTTACATCTACTTTTCCCTATTATCTTACATTAGTGTGGTGCATTTTTCATAATTAATGAACTAGTATTGATATATTATTACTAATTAAAGTCAACATTTTATTCATCTTTCTCCCTCCCTCCCCCTCTCTCTCTTTCTCTCTCTCTTTTTCTCTCTCTTTCTCTCTCTCTCTCTTTCTCTCTCTCTCTTTCTCTCTCTCTCTTTCTCTCTCTCTTTCTCTCTCTCTTTCTCTCTTTCTCTCTTTCTTTCTTTCATCTAATACCTTTTTCTGTTCCAGAATCCCATCCAGGATATTATGTTACATTTAGTTGTCAGGTCTCCTTAGGCACCTATTGTTTGTGACAGTTTCTCAGACTTTGTTTCTGTATAAAAGGCTTTTCACACATACATGTTGGAGGAGTTGAAATTTACCCACATTGGACAGGATTTTCTCTTTATGTTATGGGACCTAGGGACATTTAGTATTTATTATCTAGTTACTTTATAAAAATAGACTTACTCTCTATACCAGTGATCTTTTGTGTGTGCACCCAGTAGGACAGACTGAGGTTGAAATAACTGGGGAGGGGGAAACCTCAGGGAGAGAAGCCTCTATTACTACTGTCTCCTCTCATTATTATTGTTTTGTTGATGTTAGTATCACTATTATTACTATGAGAGAGAGAGTGTGTTGTAGTAGAGCAAATAGCCTTTGAAGTAGAACAGTTCTCTTAACTACTTACTGGCTATAATTTCTTGGACTATCACCTCAATGGGCCTTACTTGCCTCACCTATAAAATTGCTTTGCAGTATTTTGAGAATTAGGGAAGAAGTTAAGAAAGTCTGTCTCATGGTGCCTGTGCTTGGCAGAAGCATAATAGTTGTTGATTGATATTAGAAAAAAATAGAACAAATTGGAAAGAGGAAATAAGGTTCTTTCTTTCTTTCTTTCTTTTTCTTTCTTTTCTTTCTCTCTTTCTTTTATAAAAGAAGACAGCATGCAAGTGGGGGCTTTTGTTTTCAGAGCATTTTCTGTAGTAGGTAGAATAAGAAAAAAAGCTGACCTTGGTTTGTCTGCACGTTTCGTATTAACTATGGGACAGTTCTTTGCTAAACAAGAGCCTTTGGGTCCTTTTGGTTTGCGTGCTATGGGTTTCTAGCCTCTTTGTGAAGAGGTGCTTGAAGTTTATCAGTTCTTAAGAGTGTCCTAACATGGCTGTTTTGCTGTAGGTGCTGTGCTTGAAGAACGATATTGTTAAGCAAGCCTTTCTCCTCTTAAGGTAAGGATATTAATAACAGTTGTTAAATATAGTTAATTTTGCATTGTGCTAGGTAGTTCACACAGCATTTTTCTTTCATCATTTCCACTTGCACGTCTCCTGAGCATCTCAGGTGTGAACTCCCCTGCCATCTTGCTCTTTCCCCATTCTCAGTGAATGGCAACTCCATTCATCTAGTTGCTTGGGCCAAAATCCTTGGAGTCATCCTTGACATTGTTATTTCTCTCACTCTCCATCCAATTCTTTAATCAATCCTGTTGGCTCAACTTTTGAAATATTACAGAATTAAACCATTTCTCACCTCTAGTTTCAGGTCTCATACTTTCTGTTTTGCTAATCTACTAGGGAGTAGTTCCTTAATATTTTTTAAAAACCACTTCTTTTTGATGTATAAGAATTTTCTTTTTTATCTTTCCCTGAGGATATGTTTACTGATTTTAGAGAGAGAGGAAAGGGGAGAAAGAGAGAGAGAGAGAAATATCAATGCAAGAGAGAAACATTGACGGTTGCCTCCCACATGTGCCCCGATCAGGGCTCGAACCTGCAACCTAGGTATGTGCCCTGACCAGGGGTTGAACTGGAAACTTTTGTGCATGGGATGACACTCCAACCAACTGAGCCACCTGGCCAGGGCCAGCTTCTTATCTTCTTAACTACCATCATTCTTCCTTCTAATTGTTCTCCCTGCTTTCACTGTCGTCTTCTATCCTTAGCACTAATATCAGAGTGATTCCTTTAAAATCAAGTTAGCTCATATCACTTCTCCCTCAGAACTGTTCCATCAAAATAAGAGCTACAATTCTTATGGCTTACAAGTCTTTATATAATCTATTTCCTCACTGTATATTACTACTTACTCAATTTTAGCCACACTGGCTCCCTTTCTATTTCATGATGATCTAAGCACCCTCTCACCTAAGGATCTTTGCATATTCTCCCCTCAGATATCCGTATGGTTTGCCCTCTCACTTCATTCAGGTTTGTGCCCAAATGTCATCTCATTATAGAGGACTTTCCTGACTACACCTCCATCAATCTCTATCTCCTTACCTTGCTTTATTTTTCATAGCAGGTATCACCATCTGACACATTTTATATGTATATATATTTTTTATATTGTTATATTTTAATATATTATATAATTATATAAGTATGTATTATATTATAATATATAATATAATTATATATTTTATATGTATAAAATCTCATATATGATCATATATCTATAAAATCTCATATAATAATGAATTAATAGCTCTCCATAATGATCTGGTGAAACAGGTGATGTTATCTCAATTTTATGCATAAAGAACAGGTTCAGAATGGTTAATTGATAGCTCTAAGATGACATAGCTAATATGAGTTGGAGTTAGGATTCAAACCCGAGTTGTTTTTTTCACTCTTCTGCATATACCTCTCCATTGTTTTTTCTCTTGATGGTAAGGAAGAGCATTTGGTAGTTTGTTTATTTCTCTATTCAGCAGATACCCACTGAGTGGGTGAGGAGTTGACTATCTTCCTGGACCACATGACACTCATGAGCCTGCATGATTTCTTTAATCCTTTACATTTATTGAAGCCTTTTCCCTATCATTCCCTTTCCATCTTAATCTGTTTTTCCATTAATCAGTCAGCTATTCAGTATGCACTTACTATAGCACCATGCTAGGTATTTTATATGTTCTTTCTAATCTTAACAAAAAATACTACAGGACAAATATAAATATTGTCATTTTACAAAAGAGGAAACTGGCTCAGAGAGTTTAAGATAGATTTTCAGTCCCATGAGATTATACTATTATTATCTGCATTTTAAAGATGAGATAGCGAAATTACAGAGATATATAACAACTTGCTTAAGGTCAGTTCGGAAATGGTGGAGTCAGCATTTAATCACAGGTCTACTAGTCTCTAACTTATTCCACAGTATAGTGTGAAAGCTTTGCAGGATGCTGAACTAAAATACTCGGATTACCAAGTCAGCCTAACAGGACCATTTTACCCTACTCCATGTTCTCTGGCTTCTCTGTCCAGTCTGGCTCTCATTGCTGTCCCTTCCTCTCCATCCTCCCTGAACATGTTCTAATAATGCAAGGCTACTGCAAGGACCACCTCATTGGTTCTCTTGCCTCAGTCTCACCTCTTCCCATTCATTTCTCACCTACTTCCAGGGTTAACTTTACAAAAGTTATTTTATTTATTGACTTGAGAGAGGAAGAGAGAGAGAGAGACATCGATTTGTTATTTCCACTTATTTTTCATTCATTGGTTGATTCTTGTGTGTGCCCTGACCAGGGATTAAACCTGCAACCTTGGCATATTGGGACGATGCTCTAATCAACTGAGCTATCCAACCTGGGCAACTTTCCAAAACTTAAACTTAAACATATCACTCCTGTGCTTAAACTCTGCCAGAAGCTTCCCACTGCCTACACAAAGACCAAACTGCTTAGCGCAGCGTGCTTCAGAAACTGGCCCCTGATGACCTCTTTCACCCTGTTCCCTTCCCTGATGCTTAAGTCCCCCTTATATCCAGCTGCTTGTGGTTCCCCAAACATACCACTTTTATGCCTCTGCCTAGGATGCTTTACCTGTAAGGGTAAGTAATCGAAAACAGTTCATTTTTAAGCTCAACTCAGACAGTTTCAACTCCGTGGTGGAACTGATCACACTTTCCTTTGTGTTCCACCAAATCTTGTACCTGTTTTTGTTCTGGATCAGTACTCTATTGTGGCTCACATTTGTTCACCTACAGTACCCCTCTCCCAACTAGACCATTGATAGAGACGTTTACTTATTTTTGTATCCTCAAGACCTAGCACATTGTCTGGCACATAGTACAATAGGTACTTAATAATATTTGTGAAAGGGAAGGAATAAGGAAATATCTAGCATTGACATATCCTTAATGAGGATTTTACAAGTTTTGATAACTGTGTGAATAAATAGTGGGTATCTGATTGTATTCCACATACTCTCTCCCTCTTTTTAGATTCAGAACTTCAGGAGAGAATCCCATCTGTTCTGCAGGTAAGCATTTATCCTGATGTAGTCTACCTGCTTTAAGTAACTCTCTAACACTCTGTAATAATTTTGTCTAAAAGGAAGCTTAACATATCTTTGAGAAGAGTGGCTAGGACCAAATCCTAGCCCTCACATGGCATAGAACAGTGGGCAAAAACATAAAGTAGTGGTTAACAGCAAGAGCTCTGCTGTTAGTTTGGATTCCAACTCTATCACATATGTATTGTGTGACCTTTGGCTACCTTCCCATATCTGGTTTTTCTCACTTAAAAGAGTTTTTTTCTTTAACCTATTTATTTGAGAGAGAGAGAGAGAGAAAATGAGAGAGAGAGAGAAAATGAGAGAGAGAAGCATTCATTTGTTGTTCTACCCATCCATGCTTTCATTGGTTGCTTCTTGTATGTGCCCTGACTGGGGATTGAACCCACAACCTTAGGACCGCGTTTTAACCAACTGAGCTACCTGACCAGAGCCAAAGTTCATTTTGAACAACTGTGTATTCTGAGGAAGTTTTTAATTAATACTGAAATTATCAACTGTTAAAAACATCTCAAATGTAGAATATCCATATGAATGCAAATGGTAAAAATAAATATAAACTGTACAAAAGGTGTATGATAAAAAGTGGAATTTTCTTCTATTTCCCAGTCTTACTCCCTAGTGATATCCACTGATAGAAATTTCTGAGATATTTTTCAATAAAGTTTTGTGCATATATGAACATATATATAATGTGTATTTGTGACTGTATCTTAAAGCTGGACATTTAGGTTGTATTCAGTTTTTGCTATTTCAAAAAATGCTCCAGCAACCATTTTTATATACTTCACTGTAAACTTGTTCCCGTATATTTGTAAGATCAATTCCTGAAATTGAAATTGCTGAGTCAGTGGATTGTGAATTGAAAATTTTGGTAAATGTCATCAGATTGCCCTTCAAAGAAACTGTGTTAATTTACATTTCTATTTTCTGGCCAGAACTGGATTTTATAAAACATATCTTTTTTTGCCAGTGAAAAATTATGTCTCCTTGTAATTTGCATTTCTTGAGTTTGTCATCTTTTCATATTTTTATTAGCCATTTGTATTTCTTTCCTTGTGAACTGCCTGTTTATATTTTTTTGCCCAGTTTTCTATTAGATTGTTTGCTTTTTCATTTTTGATCTGTAAGAAACTTTTATATAGTTCTTATATACAAAGGAAATTAGCATTTTTCTGTTATATATGCTTTGTATTGTTTCTAGTCATCTGTTCCTTGATTTTGTTTTTGTGTTTTTTGTTAAAAAGTTTTAAATTTTTATACAGATAAGTTTGTTAATTTTTTATTTCTAGATTTTGTTTCATGCTTAGAAACAATCTTCTGTACATCAAGATTATTTTTAAAAAGTCCTTCATGTTATTTCCTTGTATTTTTTTCCTTTAAATATGTGGCTCATCTGGAATTAGAATTGGGTAAGAATGCAATTTTATCCCCCAAATGAGTAGTCAGTTGTTTCAACATTAAAATATCCATCTTTTTGTGCTTGCTTCAGCAGCACATATATTAAAACTGGAAGAACAGAGAAAAGATTAGCATGGCTCCTGAGCAAGGATGACACTCAAGATCATGAAGCATTCCATATTTTAAAAAAACATCCATCTTTGCTCCATAAGTTTGAAAATACCACCTTTACCATATACTAAATTTCCATATAAATACAAGATTATTTTAGCTTTGTTTTATTTCATTGATCTGTCTGTATATTTGATGCCAATACCAACCTGTTCTAATACTACCGGTTACATATAGTTTTGTAGTATATTTCAGTATTTGATAGCTACCTGATTTTGAGGGGTTTGTTTTATTTTGTATTTAAAGCTGGGATCAAGTAAGGCATGTTAAATGCTATTGAAAAATACCCAATAGGGATCCTTTTGAAGAGGTAGGTGGGGGATAATAACATAATTTACTCATTTTCTACTTGGCAAAATTTAAGTTTTCTCCAAGAATTTCCAGTGTAAACAATACTGTGATGAACATCCTTGTACATTCGTATTTGTGCCCTTGTCTGATTATTTACTTAGGAAACATGAAACTGTTAGGTCAAAGGAAATGCACATTTTTAAAGTTATTGATGTGTATTACCAAATTGCTTTCCAGAAGATTGCACCATTTTCTATTTCTTTGGTATTTCAGAGTCCCTTTTTATACATCATCAACATTATTGTTTTTCAAATATTTGCTAATAATAAAAAATGCTGCCCCTTGTATTTGTAATTTGCATGTCTTTAATTAGTAGTTTCTTGAACGTGTTTTCATACATTTTCATACTGGGCACTTATGTTTTCCTTTGCCCATTTTTCAATATGTATTTGAAATATATATATATATGTATATCATATATATATATATATATGGCTCTGGCCCACGAAGTCCCCCAGTTCGCTGCAGATGGTCATTCCAGACACCGTTTGCCTGTCAAGGAAAGGGGAAGGCAATTCTCTCTAAAGGAGAATGCCCCGAGCTCCTGTGCTCAATGGCTTTTATTGAGAGGGTTACAAGCTGGTGAGAGGTAGCAGGAATGTATAGATAATCTAATTACATCAGTAACTAAAGCTTACAGATAATAGGTGTTGTTTAAAGAAGACAATCGCAGGAACACACTGAAGTGCTTGGGTCTGAGTTGAGCAAACATGATGCCAGGTGAGATTTGGGTCGGGGTCCAGGAATTTTGTAAATTTCTTTCCCAGCCTTGACCTGGTCATCTGGTATAAGATTAACAGAGCTTGAGGGAGAAACAAAGCATGCTTCAAGGAGTGTAATTTACTTCTAGGCCTGATTTCCCTCGGAGGCCCTCAGAGTTATTATTGGGTCTTGCCTATCAACCACATTACCAGTGTTCTGGCCAAGGCTTACAGGTCCTCTCCCAGGTGCCAGTTTGCGCAGGACTAGAGTTCCCAATACCATTCAAAGCAGGCCCCTACATATATGCACGCACACACAAACACATCACACAAGATGGGGCAAAAGTAGGTTTACAGTTGTGAGTACGCAAAACACAGTTTATTCTTGTATTATTATTAATTGTATTATTTTTTATACAACAGAAACCTACTTTTGCCTATATTTATATACATATATATATATATATGCACACACACAAGCACACATTTTCTGAGTACATACTATTTGCCAAGTGCTGCGTAGGGTATATCAGGGACTAGCAGTCTGTTGAAGAGAATATCCTGTAATTAATTCTTGGCTGGGGCTACACCAGTGTTTTTCTCTTTTCCTTCTGCATAGCTGTGCTAAAAATACTTGTTCCAATTTTGAAGGAGAAATAGTGAAAGTGGATTTGTTTACCCCCATCCTGGATTGATAGGTTTAGTACTCAGTTTAGCAAACAAGGACACTGAAGGACAGTTGGCTCTGGCATTTATACAGGAAGGGGTGTGATGTGGGAGAAGTCAGTGTGTGATTACATCCTATAATTGTGCTAACTAAAAGATTTTCAAAGCCTCCTTTGGAAACCCTGGGCTTTGTGCCTTCTTCAGTAAAGACAGAGTTGTCTTTTCTCTTAGGAGGCTGCAAGGTTAATGTGACAGCAGGAAACCCAGCTTAATGACACAAAGCCAGGGGAAAGTTCAGTTGAACTTATCAGAAATCGGAGGCTTTCAAAATTGTAAATTTTGTAATTAAAACAACTGGCTAATTAAGCAGTTTAACCACTGGTAATTTGACCAAAATCTTTCATTTAAGGAGGAAAATGGTTAATTTAACAATAGTTTGAATCAGCTTCTTAATTAACCAGCTGCTCTAATTATAGGAATTGCCCCAACCTGAATTTGAAAATTCCTCCTTGCCAAGGAATTCCAGTAGGTGAGAGGCCATGGCCAGGCAAGTATTTTTGGCACTTTCACCTGAGATATATCACTTTCGGTCCTACTTTTTAAAACCACTGCAGGGTTATTGAGTTTCTGTATTTAGAGATAGTTACTGGTATCTGAGTTTTATTTATACAAAAGGTTTTACTACATACAGGGGTAGGCAAACATAGGTTTATAGTCGTGAGCACGCCAGTTTATTCTTGTATTATTACTATTTATTAATTATTGTATTATTTTCCATGTGAACAACTGTAAACCTACTTTTGCCCACCCCTGTAATGGCGGCATGGGAGAGCTGCGACGCGAGCTCTTGGTGATCTTTGTATCTTTAGGGCAGCAGGAGAGCTTCCCAGAGACTGTGACATTTGAGCTGGCCCAGGAGGCTTGTAGGGTTTCACCAGGCAGAGAGGTGCAGTGCCAGCAGAGGGGAGTGCCCGGGGTGACAGGGCATGAAAACTGCATAGTTCCTGCAGAGTGGCATGTGTAGATGTTGCTGAGGAGCAAGGTTTTAAAGGCCTGGAGGAGTGGGAGAATGAGGAGATGAAGTAGTTGGAACTAGATTATGAATCAAGGTTCTTCAATGCTCACCTAAGAAGTATTAACATTGGGCAATGAAAAACCATCAAACATTTTGAAATATGGCAAAAGACCTTTCCTGTCTCATTCATTGGTGTGTCTCTAGTGACTGAAATAGTGCTTTGTACATAGTAAGTACTTTAAAGAAATGTGTGTGTGTGCAATGAGTAAATAGTTGAATTAATGAAAGAGTAATTTAATTAGATCTGTGGTTTAGAAAGATTAATTTGTAAGCTCTGGAGGATGGAATGAGAGGGGCGTGGATACTTCGACATCACCAACAATAACTGAACCAAGGCTACCACTTGAATCTCCTATTCCTTCTGTCCACACTCCCTGTCCCCACAGCAACCAAAGTGATCTTTTAAAAACATAATAGACATGTAATTTCCCTGCTTATGGTTATTAGGCCTGAAATCCAAACCCTTAACAAGGCCCAGTGTGGTGTGTTCCAACCCGCTGTCCTAGTCTCCGGTCCCCTCTGTGCACCTCTCCCTTTGCGCCAGTCACACTGACAGCTTTCGGTTCCTCGAATGTGCCGAAGCTGTTTCCCACATTGGAGCCTTTACACATGCTATTTCCTCTGCCTGGAACATTCATCCTCTATCTTTCACTTAACAACCTCCTATTTGCCTTGCAGGTCTGGATTTATTTTATTATTTTTTGAATAGGTAATACATGTATGAAACAAGTTTTAAAAGATACAAATGAGTATAAAATAAACAGTAAATGTCCTTCTCCTCCTGACTTCTAGCCACTTCACCTCCCTGGGGATAACCACTGCTTCTCTCTGAATTCTGGTCACAGTTCACATGCCACTGATTTCAGAAAGGCCTTCCCTGATACTCCAATCTAAAAAAGATCCACCAATTGTATTGCCATAGCCCTCTGTACTTTTCTTTTTATAATTTATCTCAATTTGTAATTTTATATTTGTTTTGTGACTTCCATGAATGATACCTTCGTCCCACTTGACTGTCAGCTCCATAAGTAAAGTTTTGTTGGCCTTGTCTACTTTTATATCCCCAGCTCTTAGCATAGCGCCTGGCACATCAGAAGTATTCAGTAGTTAAGCCCTTTCTAATCTTTGCCTGTTTCTGTAAACTCACTTCTTCCCATCATGCTCCTCATGTTCTGCTTGAAATTCTGTCTGGCTCTTCCTCTCCCCACACCATGTTCTTTCATCGCTGTTAGTCATCCTTCAAGTTTTACTTAAAAGCTACCTGCTCTAAGAATCCTTTCCCAACACCTGAAGTCCAGCTTCCATGCCCCTCCCATGTATAGCCTTTACCACCCTGCACTGGTATTACCATTTCCCTAGTGCATCATAGGCTCTTTATTGTAGGGACTTTGTCTTTGTCCATTGTTATAGTCCCAGCTTCTAGGGCATTGCCTTGTACTAATAGTCCTGCCATAGATAATTGGGTTGGTTTTGCACTGCACAACTCTAGTGTGTGCTGTTCACATGGCTATGAGGGTATAATTGTTACTGGCTACCCTGATGGGAATTGATAAATATTTATTAAGTGAATGAACATGGTTTGAAGAGTTCAGTGATTTTTCAAAGTCTTATTTTGAGGTCATGATAAAATCTTCTTAGTTAAGATTAATTTGCAAGGCTCTAGTCTGAGGATCACTGTGTACCCATCAAGAGGATTTGGATATCAGCTCCTTGGGTGGGGTCCCAGGTTAAAGAATTGAAACACAAAGGCTCAAAGGGTCAAAAGTTTTAGATTCAGAGAGACAGAATTGGGACAGGGGCCAAGAACACACCTCAGTTATTACGTTCACTGCTTTTGGGGTACTAATACCAAAAGTACCTCCTTCTTTCTTGAGTGGTAAACTCTTTCTCTTTCAAGAATGCAGCTTTTATTCTCCTAAACCTCTTCCCCGGCACTCTTCCCCATTCCAACCCCACAAGGCAGAGTTAGTTGTTTCTTCCTCTAGGCACTTATTACCTTGCTCTCATCTCCATTAAAATATTCTGTACACCATACGATAATTATCTGCTTTCCCATCATCCTTGCCCAGTACATATTGAGTGTCTCTGGGGAAAGTAGCATATCTTAGTCATCTTTGTCCCAGTTTCTATGCAGTTGTTGGTATGTAGTAGTAAATGTGGAACAATGCATATTATAGGACTAATGCATATCCCAGCGTTGTCTTGATGAAATAGTGTGGTTGTAATCATAGGACAGACTCTGAAGCTAACCTCTGATTGGCCTGGCACAGAGCAGACTTACTTGGGAGCCCATTTTAGAAAAGAGAAGCTTAAGGAACATTCCTCTAGAGACTTCCAGTCAAAATAGAGACATAGGTAAACACAGCTCTCCTCCTCATACAACCACAGCAAAATTACAACTAGACTACAAAAAAAATCACCCAGAATCGTCAGAAAATCGAGCTGTATGGAAGTCTGACAACCAACAATTAAAGAAGTCATGTTCATCGAGACATTTAGGAGTGGTGGAGGCACGGAGATGCGCGGAGAGGTGCGGAGATGTAGAGATGCTGAAGGGGCGGTCCCACACCCACATGTGGTAGATAAAAATCAGGAGGGACACCTCGGGAGCGAGGGATTCCAGGCTCACACCAGACCACCCGGCTCAGGGTTTCAGTGCCAGGACGATAAGTCTCCATAACTTCTGACTAAAAACCAGTGAGGGTTAGGGTGGTGGAAGAAACTGTGGGATTCTCAGGAGTCTCCTCTTATAGGACCTACAACGGACTTAGGGCAGTCTCACTCCCTCTGGGATTCAGCACCGGGGCAGCAGCTGAAAGGACACCCGTAGCAGGAAGAAAATGCAGTGTCTGGCATCAGGGCGAGTGCTGGGGGACAGCGTCCTCCTGGACAAAACTGCAGAGGCCAGGCAATGCCATTGTCCCCTTTCTGAGCCCTCTCCTACACAGAACCACAGAGTGGCAACACCGTATCGGAGACCCCATCAACCTGATTCACATGGGTTGCCCCACCCTGGTGATTTCCTAAGGCTCCGCCCCATCCACTTACCAGTGCACTTTTCTAAAATAGGCCATGCTCCTAAGACAGGAAGTCAAAGCAGCTCTATTTAATACATAGAAACAAACACAGGAAGGCTCCCAAAATGAGGAGACAAAGAAATATGGCCCAAATGAAAACTCCAGAACAAAACTCCAGAAAAAGAACTAAAAAAAAAAAAATGGAGAAAAGCAATCTATCACATGTGGAGTTCAAAACACTGGTTACTAGGATACTCAAGGAACTTATTGGGTACTTCATCAGCATAAAAAAGACCCAGGAAGAAATGAAGGTTACACTAAGTGAAATAAAGAAAAATCTACAGAGAACCAACAATGGAGTGGATGAAACCAAGAATCAAATCAATGATTTGGAACATAAGGAAGAAAAGAACATTCAATCAGAACAGAAAAGAAGAAGAAAGAATCCAAAAAAACAAGGACAGGCTAAGGAGCCTCTGGTATAACTTCAAACATACCAACATTTGAATCTTAGTGGTGCCAGAAGGAGGAGAGAAAGAGCAAGGAATTGAACACTTACTTGAAAAAATAATGAAGAACTTCCCCAATCTGGCAAAGGAAATAAGCATACAAGTCTAGGCAGTACAGAAGAGTCCCAAACAAGTTGGACCCAACGAGAGCCACACCAACACACATGATAATTAAAATACCAAAAGTTAAAGCTAAAGAGAGAATCTTAAAAGCAGCAAGAGAAAAGCAGAGAGTTACCCGCAAAGGAGTTCCCATAGACTGTCAGCTGATTTCTCAAAAGATACTTCGCAGGTTACAAGGGACTGGCAAGAAGTATTCAGAGTGATGAAAAGCAAGGACCTACAGCTTAAATTACTCTATCCAGCAAAGCTATCATTTAGAATGGGAGACTGGATAAAGTGCTTCCGAGAAAAGGTAAAGTTAAAGGAGTTCATTATCACCAAGTCCTTATTATATGAAATGTTAAAGGGACTTAATAAACAAAAAGAAAACCATTAAAGTGGCAATAAATTCACAATTATCAACAAGTGATTCTTAAAAACAAAGTAAGCAAACAAGCAGAACAGAAACAGAATCATAGATATGGAGATCATTTGGAGGGTTATCAGTTGGGAGGGGGAAGAAGGAGAATGGGGGAAAGTTGCATGGATTAAGAAGTACAAATTGGTAGGTACAGAATAGACAGGTGGATATTAAGAACAGTATAGGAAATGGAGAAGCCAAGGATCTTATATGCATGACCCATAGACATGAACTGAGGTGGGTGATTGCCAGGGGGAATGGGGAGTATTTGGTGGAGGGGGACAATGGGGGAAAAATTGGGACAACTGTAAGAGTATAATCAATAAAATGTTTTTTAAAAAGAAACATTCCTCTACATGCCATTAGACTTCTCCACACCACGTTGTGTTTAGCCCCCTGCAGAGTGATAACCCTGGGAAGATGATGGCAGGACCACAGGAGCTGGAAGGAAAGGGAGTCGTACTAGGACTGGTACTTCTCCAGAAGGTGGACACCAAGCAAGAGAGACAGACAGACATAGCAGAGCTGGTAGGGTGGGTTCCAGTGAAAGGGTAGAGGTAAGAACTGAGATCTGAGCTAAGAAAGATCAGATCTAGCTAGATTTTATATGCTAGAAATTCAGAGGCATAACACATCTGAGCATAAGTTGCCTGGTCAGATAGACCTGGGTTTAAAATGCAGTTCTGCCTTTTATTTGCTGGATGATTTTGGCCAATTCACCATAATTTTTGAGCTGTAGTTTCTTTATTTGTTAATGAGAATAAAAATAATGAGGATTAAAGGAGAATATGTATATATCACCAAGTCCTTCCTTGAAGGGGAATCTGGGAGGCACATCTCTGGGCTAACATAATGAAGATGCACATGGAGATTTTATTTTATACTTAGTGGTAGTACACATACACACTGTTTGTACTTTAGGTTTTTGTTTTTATTATTAGTCAGTTAACAGTGTGTGTTAGAGATTGTTCCATATTGTCACAAATAGATCAAATTAGACGGTTTTAAAAACTTTCTGGAAATCTATGATTGTTCTCTTCTCTGGTTATATTGGCCACCTATCACTATCTCTACACAATTCACAGAGAACTTCAAAAGAATTACTGCCTGTTGAGAAAAAAGAAAAAATGAGAACCCTGTGAGAATGTATTTTGTCCCTATACCACCAGTGGCTCTAGCAGGGAGACTTTCTCAAAGGAAGATAGGTAGTGGGGACTGGATATAGTCCAGTAGTCAAAAGGAGAGAAATGGTCAGTAAACCGATGGTCAGCCCTGGATAAAAACAAAAAAATAGCTCTGGTTCTTTAAACCAATAAGAAGCCCGCTACCCCCAAGTAGTCCCAGTCTTGCAATAGAGAATGTCTCCTCACGTGTGATCTTTCCCTAGAGTGGCTTGTAAACAGCTTTGTCTCATTTTCTCTTTTAGGTGGCATTTTGCTGAGTACCAGTCGGCACTACAGGACAAAACCCACCCATGGCATTGGAAGATACAAGCACCTAGTTAAAGAACAAGAGGTAAAGGGGGCTGGGGTCCTTTAGAGAATGTGCAGCTTTAACAAACACCCAGAGATCAGATTTGCATAGTACTGGAGCTAGAAAGAGTAGGAGGTCACCCCTCAGTCCTCTAGTTACTTAATTTAGATATTATCTATAGTGGAGATGTTGCTGCCAGTTCCCAATCTTATCCCTAGGCCAGGTTATCACAGTAAAAAAACAAATGATTTGTTTTTATTATTTGTGATACTTTAAAATATGTTCCTAGTATTTAGTTCAGTATGGACCTCACAATGAAAATGATATATTCAGTTTAGCTGAGTAAATGTTAAGTAGTAGAGGTGGACTGACACTTCTAGCCAACTAGCTGAGTTTTATAGTAGCTGCAGATTTAAAATATGTTATGTGTTCCTTGAATCCATTATCACATATAATTGGGAGTTAATTCTAAGCACTGTAAGAGTATTTAGCCTATTTCTCTGGCTCCAGCTGCAGGATTGCTTAGATTTCTGTGTATGTGATGAGGATTTTCTGGTGGGGTGAACACAACGCTGGCCAGAATGTCAGGTGCGGCTTTGAGTTATGATTCTGTCACTTCCTGAAAATAGTAAAGAAGATTTTGCTGCTCTACTTGAAGAGTCTTCCACATCACCTTTGGTTCTTGGGCTTATTTCAATGCTCCCGTGTAACCATGCACATCTCCCACTGCCTCTGTCTCCTCGGCAGAAGTTCCATACCACCCATACTGAAGCACTTGGGCTTCAGAAGCCACTAAACTTGCCATGTTCTCTTGAGCATCATTGTTATGTCAAAGAATTTCACTAGAGGAACATTGGCATGTCAGAGGCCTGTATCAGGCAGCCTCCCAGAAGGAAACAGCTCAATTAAAATGGTTTGTTGTAGTGGGAAGACTGTGCAGTTGGGAACCAGGAAATTTGTATTCTAGGCTTGGTTCTGCAACTCATTAGCTTTGTGACTTTAGATAAGTTAACCTTACTCCTCTAGGCATGGTGGGCCCTGAAATTGTATGTAAAATGTTTTCCATGTGTGAATTTTTCTGAGAAGAGTCCCTTGCTTTTTCCAGGCTCTTCAAAAAGGTTGAGAAACTCTGGATTAGAATATCTTTAAGATTTTCAGCTTTGATATTGTGTATCTCTATGATGCTATGAAATATTAATTGAATATCTACTATGTGCTAAACACTGCTGGGGGTGACTTGCCTATTCAGACTGGGTTGCAATAAAATTTTATAGGATGAAATGAACACCACCTGGTTTATGCTCAGAGGAAGCTGGTAAACCATTTGAAATAAGACACAGATGATTATGCTCCAAGCGAAAAGTGACAAGTGCTAAAAGGAAGATAGAAAGTGCCATTAAAATTCAGAAGGAGTTGTTTATACCCTTCCTGAGTTGTGGCACCTTAAAGTAGTTTTTGGAGTTGTTCTATTTTCAGATATCCCTCTTCTAAAAGTCCCACATAAGTTAGCGGGAAATGAAATTGGTTTTGTTGGTGTGTACAGTTTTTTGTTTTTTTTAATGTGCTGGGATCCTCCTTCTTAGGATAATTTTCTGCATATGCAATGCTCCGACACACTCTCTAGCTTGGTATAAAAGGATGTTTAGTTCCATCCATCTGTCCCCATCTTTTTCTCTAGCCTCTTCTCCCATCTCACAGATACCATGCTTTAACTGCATTGGGCCTCTTGCTTTTCATCTGAATCACCATACTGTTTCAAGGCCTCTCACAGGCTATTCTTTCTACTTGGAAGACTTTCTCCCCCTTTTCACTTGGTTAATACATCCTCAACCTTTAAATCTCAGTGAGAAGCAGGGTAAGGATGGAATAATTAGATGTCCCCTTCTGAGAAACCTTCCTGAATTCCCTGCACTGGGTTACTTGTCCTGCCATGAGCTCCCACAGTTCCTGTGCTTCCTCTGTCCTAGGACCTAGAGGTCTGTTTTAACCATCTGTTTTGATGACCATCTCCCCTTCTAGATGGTGAGCTCCCTAGAGTAGAGGCCATGTCTCATTTTTTCTGCATCCTTGGTGTCCAATGCAGGGCCTGGCATCAAATAGAGCACAGTAAATATTGATTGAGCTGAAGTGAAATGTGGTTACTGAAGCTGCCCTGAGGTTTTATAAATCAGAACTGCAAACACAACCCACTGTCTGCAAACCGCTGGCTCCAGATGACCTTGGTTGCTTGAAGGGAGCGATACTCCCTTTGTTGTTGGCGTTTCTCTGATGTCATTCATTGTCCTGGGGTAGCTAGCACACTAGTGCCTGATAGTGGTGGAAGCTGCTGCAGGCTCCTCATCTCCTGGATGGGACAACACAGGGGAGCTCTTATCTGCCAACTTGCAGAGGCTCTGTCTCGAATTCCTGTCTCCTTTCCCCCACTGGGGAGCTGGACCGAAAAAGCTAGAAGGCATCTTGTGGTTCCCTTTCTCTCCTTAAGCCTAGAACCTAGAAAAAACATTAAGTAGCCAGAGTCTCATTTTTTCCTCTGTGGGTCTCAGGCTGGGCCTTCTATTGTTCTGAGCCCCAAATTCCTGAGATGAGAATTAATTCTCATGCACAAAGTTCCCAGCTTTTGTCCCATTTCTGTTGGTCTCATTTCTCTCCACTCCTCCTTCCAAAGGTCCCACACTCAGTCTTGAGACTCCTGAACCTTGGAGAGGAAAATGAGCGCCTACTTGTCTCAGCTTTCCCTGGCAATACTGGTTTTACCTCTTCCTTTCTTGAATCATGTGGTTGGTTCCCGTCCCTCCATCCTGTGCCATTGTCCTTGTTACTTCTCTGAGGAGTAAATGATAGGGGAGATGAAAATGAAGCTTCCTCTTGGGTGGCAACATGGGGGATGGCAGCAAATCATGGGATTCTGGGTCTCTCATAGCATGGACCCAACCTCCTGTTCAGTGATTTCTCTTTGTGTGCCCTGTGCTTCAGACACATTCCTCACACACCCATGCTGCCTTATGTCTCTGTGCCTTTGCACATGCTCCTTCCTCTTTATGGGAGGATACGTTTCTTTTTTTGTCTCATCTATAAGTCCCAGTGGCAGTGAGGGATCACGTTTCAGAGCACATATGCACACCTAGTGCTATATATCAATGTGTCACTATTCTCTCAAAGGCCCAGTGTTATTCTGTTAAATTTAAAAGACCTTGGAGTGTTTGGAATTATTTTTATTTGACAGAAATAAAAATAATGTAGTCCTTCATATTTGTGTAGTGCTAGGTTATTTCCCCCAAGACTTTTTACTTATTTACTTGCCCTCAGTTGTTGTCCTGCCTCCAATCTTGGGGTAATAGCAGCCCAAGAATCAGAGAATTGCCAAGAGGAAGATGTAGGAAGATGAAACAGAGGCAACATAGATTGCTCGCAATTTGTAGTTGTTATATTTTGTCTTCTAGGCCCTGGGACAAGAGAGTAAAGCATATCTTTTGTAACATCGGTAATTTACTTCCTTTTTGTAGAATGGCCCCTAGGACTCAAGATACCTTTACTCTTGGAAATGTAATGCTGTTTTTACTGTTGACATCTGCCATTTCTGATACCTGTGTATTTTGTTGTAGCACGCTTAGCTCTGTCAGGAGACTGGGGCATCATTCCTGAAAAAATCAGCAGCTCAGAATCACTTTATGGTGACAGTCCTAGCTTCCTGGGACAGAAAGATTGGTTTTGCCAGTCCAGTGACTATAGGGCTAGATATGGATTATAGGACTCGTTTAGGAAGAGTTGTTTGAAACTAGCATCCATGTATTCCCCCGAGTATACCTCTTATAACTCATTGAAAAGAAAAACTGCCATTGAGCATCTCCTATGTGCCAGGCACTGTGCTGAACACAGATGGTTCTCAAGCGAATAGGACACAGCCTTTTTTTTCCCAAAAAGTGTACAGTGGGTTAGGAAAGATAGTGCTCAGATTGCAAACTTCAGTGAGAAGAGACTATGGCTGTATTATTTACTGTCATATCCCTAATGCTAACTGTGGTCTGTCTCATCACTAGTGCTCAGTGAATATTTGTTGAATAAATGCATATATGTGGTAAGTGACAGAAGTGTATTAGGGGGCTGTTGTGGGAGCACGGAAGAGTAGTGTCTCACTTAGCCTGAGGAATCAGGGAAGGCTTTCTAGGAGATCTTGAGCTGAGTTTTAAAAATTGAGCAAGATTTACTCACATTAAGGGTGTGGGATAAAGAGTCAAACACTTTGGAGGGAGGGGACATTCTGGGCAAAGGTGGGAAGACACTGATCCTGGAGGTGGAGTTAGGAAACTTTCAGCGATTTGTTGTTAATCCTGGTGTTTCCAATGGACCTGAGAGGATGAGGGGACATGAAACCCGAGAAGCAGGCAGGTATGGATCAACCTTTTTAAAGATACCATTTATTGAGTAACCACTATAGACTCTCGTGTGTCTCCACTCTCTGCTCTTTCAGCAGTACCCACCTGAGGTGGTTGTTCTTGGGTTCTCCTCAGGGCCATAATCCCCTTAGGGCATGGTGCAGCAAGGTATTTTGTGTTGAACTTGACATGGGAAGTGGACTGCTCTTTATGATTAAATTGAGAGGATCTGTTCTTTCATGCATGTCTTTCTCTCTCTGAACTGTAAACTCTTTGAGGCCTGGGACTGTGTTTTCTACTTCTTTGGTGTCTCTCCTTAGAATGGTTGAATCAGCATTTTGCACACAGGAGGTGTTTCATAAGTGATTCATTCTGTAAAGCATACCGATAGGATACCAGGAGCATGCTTACCTCTAATTTATAGTAATCATAATGTCCTATCTGTGTACATTACTCAACTTTTTAAAAAGATACCGCTTATTAACTACTATATACTAGATGCTATAACTACTATTGATATATGTCAGGCTTTAAAAAACATTTCAGTTACAAATGGTATCTTTTTTCCCCGGCTGATGTGGCTCAGTGGACTGAGCGTTGGCCTGTGAACTGAAAGGTCTCCAGTTTGATTCCCGGTCAGGGCATATGCCTGGGTTGCATGTGGGCCAG